CATTCATGCACAGACAAAATCACATACACATATTATCTGCAGTCCTTCATTATGCAAAGCTCTCTAAGAGGAGAGGAAGGGTGCACAGGTGAGGATTTATGTCCATCCAACGAGGACCAATGAGGCTTCTTTATACAAAAAGTACAAATAGAGTTATTAGAGGAGACCAAGGCCAAGATGAGTGTAAAGAGGGGACAGACACTGCTTCTACCAAGTTCTATTTGAACAATATTCCCATTGTTGCACGGACAGCTGTTTAATCAGACACCCTCTTTCTCATAAAGCCTTCAGGGTAAGAAAAGTGTTCTTTGTAAAAGATTTTGGTTTTAAGATAAGGTATAAAAATATATATGATAGCCATTTAACACCATTTTTATACACTTCAGGCAAAATGTCTGTTTTGCTTCTCTGTGTTTTTGGCTCAGCTAGTGTAAGTAGAGTCATGATTATTATTTTCTATTAAATATTTGTTTAGTAACTGAGAGGTAGGGAGCCTTTGGTTCTCTAAGTAAAAGTCCCATTCATTTTCTACAGAGACATTTTTCGGTGATGGGCACAGAACTTCAAAATTTGGGCTCGCTTTTTCTCCACAGCAACAGCCAAGGCTATTAGTATAGTATTCAGAGCGATTCACTGTACCAAATTGATGAAATAAATTTCTCCAAACAAAGTTGAAATGACTAAAAACGATGGTCGTGAACTAAAAATAAAGCAATGTGACATTATCGTTTCTGTGTTGAAGAACATTGAGAATATCAGCAGTTGGAACAGGATTTTACTAAATATTTCTGGAACCACTCTAATACAATTAACAAAGAGCATTCTTTTAAAAAAAAATATTTTTCATTTATTATAGAACTTCTGTCTCACCACCATTTGCAAGTTTTTTTGAACTGCAAGTTTCTTTTACTCGTGCATTACATTATAGTACAATAGCTTCCATCAACACACGCTCGAAACCCAAGCCAATTTACTCTGCATATCTTTGAGCATACTAAATTATTTCACATTTTCATCATGAATGCACTGAAAACCCAGTTACAACATGTACTGTAAGTAGTATGGAATCGGGGGGGAGATATTTGCATGTTATCTCGTGAAGCTCCAAGAAAGTCGTGCAAATCAAAGCTGTTCACGGCTGGCTTTGTTTAAAAGATCACACCATTTTCTTTTCTATGAGACCATATGTGTTTGATTATGTATTCCCTCCATCTGCCAAACAGGTTATTGCTGTGCTGTTGGTGTGATCCCCCATTCAAATGATCTGATGCTAGGCACCTCACAGCTAATGCTCTCATTACAGCTCAGACATGCTGAGAAGAAAAGCTCGACTGTGTGCATGTATTAATGTGTGTTGGGATTTGTGTGAGTAAGTGTAAGTCATGCGTACATATGCTTGTTGGCATATGACAGTAATTATTTTTCCATGCAGATCACTGTGCATATTTCAACCATATAGTATGCCTCTTAGCGTATGTGAGCCTGTGTGTGTGTGTGTGTGTGTGTGTGTGTGTGTGTGTGTGTGTGTGAGAGCTGTTCAGTGGATTGGATGAAAATACATATTGGGTTGAGAACACCATTAGTTGAGAGTCAGCAGTTCTGCTGAATGGAGACAGAGGGGGGAATGGTCTCTATCATGAAAAGCTTCCCATGGTATATTCTCAAGGCAGAGAGAGAGAGAGAGAGAGAGAGAGAGAGAGAGAGAGAGAGGGATGAGATGATATATGAAACCATTAGGCTCCTAACACCTAAAACACTTAGTTCAGCTGCATGTGTGCCATTACTACCATTACACTATATGCTCCAGGCTCCATGGTAACGGACAGATAGGAGGACAAAGGAAGTGGAAGACAGAGGAGTGAGATAGGAGGAGAGGAGTGGGATGACCCATGTGATAGAGAGGTTGCGTGATGTCATGCATTACTGATAGGAAGAGGAAAGGCTGGTAATGTGATGCTACAGATAAAGTAGGAACCTCTCTCGCTCGCTGTCTTTCTCTGATGAATCTCTACAGCCCTGCTCCAGTGCTAATAAAGGAAGTGAAGTGATCTCTTTAGCCACAGATTAAGATTAAAATGGAGGTAATGTCATTACATACGGTGTCTTTATAGGATACAGATCGCTGACTTCATGGAGTGCGTAGCCTCATCTGCAGATAGGATTTCTAGAAGCATATATGCTTAGATTATATCAGAGGCAATCCCAGTCGTGTGCCAATTAGCGTGGGAACATACAGGCGGCTATTATGTGTCTGTTCACTAGCAAGCTGAAGCACAGTTTCGAATGCGTACTGTATTTTCCCAGTCTGTAGCCTCAGTTCATTAATTGTACCCAAATGTACTACACATGACGCTTTACAATCAATGCCATATTCTTCCTGAGACCTTCATTTGTATAATTACAGTAAATAAAACAGACAACTATGGTTTCATTTTTTTATGGTAATCACATAAAGCCATCCCAGTAGACCTTTTTTTACTGCAGACATTTTGACATTAAATAATAGGGTAAACACAGGTGTTAGCAATGGTACTAATTAAGACTGATGAAACGGACACTAAATGGAACAGAACCTTAATTAGTGTCATTGGTAACACCCAAAAAATGTCTACTAATTTGTCAGGGGTATTTAATTTTTTTTTTTCTAATTATTTTTTTTTTACTATGAGTACATGTAGCATCTTAAAGGAAAAGCTTTCCTGCAAGTTTTGAATTCTACTTTATTTTAAGAATACAGGCAGCAAGTCATGTCTTGGATTCTGCCAGCATCAGTCAGGAAAGCACCATTGTTCTGCTTGAAGTCAAGCTGTAACTTTTTTAGCCAACATTATGCATTGTGAACGCTGTGTAAAAAAAAAGTTGTGCTGAACCTGAAACTGTTTCTTTTTTTCAATTGTTTCAAAATTGTGTCAACACAATATTGGTGTTAGTATTATTATACAGAACATAACAACTGAACAACGACGCAGCACATAAGACCCATGATACAGAGAGCATCTTTTATCCCGGTATACTTCAACTATAGGGATTTAAGTGTCACTTTACATTTTCAGCTGTGCTTGCAGATGATAAGGTTGGTCAGTCGGTCCACCAGTTTGGTCCAGACTGAAATATCTCAGAAACTATTGCCTGGATGGATTGCCTTAAATTTTTGTGTAGACATTTGTGGTCAGCAGAGGATGATCCCATGACTTTTCCTCTAGTACCACCATGCAGTTGACATTTGTAGTGACATGTCTACTATTAAATAGATTGCCATGAAATTTTGGTTCAGACACTCATGACTTTGGTGATTTCATTAGTCCAATACTGTACCTGCAAAACCAATGACATTCAGTGATTCAGTGACATTCATTCATGATCAGTTTTATTTTTTGTTTAATGCTAATTAACAAATGGTGAACATGGTAAGCAATAAACACCCGCATGGTAACATTGTCGTTGCGAGCATGTTAACATGCTGTCAATAGCATTTAGCTCAAAGCACCAATGTGCCTAAATTCAGTCTCACAGAATAACTAGCATGGCTTAAGCAGATTTTATATGGCACTGTTCAGTCTCCAGATATTATCATTATCACATCCGTTCTCATGGTATAGGACATCAATTGATTTAACATCACTCATTAAAAACACATGTCCTTTTAAAATTAAATACATCCATTAATCTGCACATCACTGCCCCGCAATGACATTTCCTTTTATCATTGTTTAAGCCGAGGCAGTCAGAAGTCTGAGGAATGGTGTCAGTGTGACAGTTTATTTAAATTGTGTTAGAGAAATGAGAGTTGTGAGTTTCCATCTATAAGCTCCATTTGCCATCTAATAGGTTGCACAAAAAAAAATACTGAATGAGCTTATTAGTTTTTGAGTGTTTTCAAGATTCACCTCTTTTACAATATTTTGGCATTATGATGATAATCGTCATTCACAGCTTTTTGGTGCAGACATCTTTACTGCCCATTGTCCATGTTAAAACCCAACAAGAAGGCCCTTACTCCAAAGTTTTGGGCAGGTATAAATCAATTAAATAGAGCAGAGAAATAGGCAGGCTGACTAAACACTCTGGATTAAAATCTGCTTGTTTGCTGAATTGATATTTTGCATATTTTAACTGTACTCTATTAAGCTTGCACGGTCCCCTAGGTGAACCGGTGGGATGACTTGCAATACTGCAGAGTAGGGAGAAGCTGAATGCATAAATATATGATGTGGGCCGATGGAGGATCCCTTGGTAGAGGTATAGCCGAGGTGAAAGAGGTGGAGAGGAGGAGGAGGAGAAGATGAGTAATCTTAATAGGCTTGACTGCAGGTTTTATCTGTACATCTGTAGGTGCCTGTAAAGGAATCTGAAGTCTGGAATCTGGATACATATGCAAGGACACGATTCTGTCAGGTTTAAGGAGAAATAAGAAAACAGTCCACCAGATAATCACAAACACATTCCTTTCTGCTCTATGGATGTTTGAGGTTGAGTGATTGCATGGCCGGTGTTAAAACTACAAAAATTGGTATCTAAGAGCAAATGTTATGGTATAGCCAATATTAAATGCTCAGGTACTTTATAGGCATACAGGAATAAATCATTTCAAACGGCTTCTTTCGAGGATCAACCTTATTGTTCGGCTGTATATAATTATTATAAGCATACAGGAATAAATCATTTCATTATTGATACTCACTGGCAAAAAGATGGACTAATTGCAACTGTGTTTATCTGTCTTAAGACAAATGTTAAAAATTCAGCTTTTAATCATCATTGTCATTTGCAGAGTTAGATGACAACTTGCCGTGATGTTTGGAGCTCAGATGAAGTCCGTTTTTTAACTGTGGCTGTATTTTCTTTCAAGGACAGGTGGGATGTTTTTGTAGACGGATGCAGAACAGCGCAGATTTTGAAGCAGCCACTTACAGTTTTAGGAAGATTACTGCAAATAAGACTTACCCCCAGGAGACCATCTTCATCTGGAATATAACTCCTTTATCTTTTCATCCACACAGCTGGAAGTTTCAACCACAGACATAGCTGGAAACGTTGTCGAGGGACCGGCCCAACTAGTGATCACTGTCATTGACCAAAATGACAACCGGCCCATCTTCAAAGAGACACGCTACACAGGAGAAGTGCTTGAGGGATCCCCTACAGGTAGGTGACATTGTTAAATTGAAGGACCCAGGAGAGGCTGTTATTGGATTTAGCTGGACAGCAATATCACACACGCTGTGATTGCTGCACCTGAGATGTCCTCTGATCGTAGGTGCAGTTGTGTTGATGATGATGTCTACATTTGTGTCCTGAGCCCAGGGGTTTGTATGTCTTGTTGTGGGGATTAAGTAAAAAGCTCATTGTACATGGCTTAATAATAAAATAAACATGAGAGCACTGAACTTCTCAAGTTGCAGAGGCACCTGACCTACAATATATCTCGAGGCCACATATTTATCATTTCAGGACACCAATCACATGGGTGTACACGTTTCAATGGCAAGCTGACAAACGGCTTCTCTCGAGGATCAACCTTATTGTTCGGCTGTATATAATGAATATTAGATTCAATTCATATTCATATTTAAGCCTTTAACACAAAACACAAACACAAACATCATGCACACATTTTGTTATATTTTTGCTTCGTTTACATTTTCACTAGTTATTAAAGATTATTTATTATTATTCTATATAAAATTTTAAAAAGAATAATGCTATAAGTCAAATTATTATATTAAATTTTTATTGTGCATTTCGTCTCTTTTTTTGGCAAATCAATTACACTTGAATATAAGAGAGTCTGTAATCAAAATTGTACACACGCATACAAACAGAACAATTACACTAATTGTGTAACCACAAAGGGGACATGGAAAGAAACAGAAATTATTTAAGAGGTTCTGGACCAACATGATATCAATATTTCATTTTCTAAAATCAATGCCAGTATATCGCAACAGCCCTAACATGAATCTGATAACAGCATTTTGTACAAGAAACATGTAACAATTTGTTGTTGATGTTAATTGTAGTAATGTTAGGTTGGTGTAACTCTAAGAAACTTTGTGAAAATTGAAAATGACTTTGGCATTTCCCAAGTGTTATCAGAGAAGATATTGTGCCATTGTGATAGAGAGCATTACACGCCACTACTTACCCTTCATGGATCCTTTGTATAGTGCTGCCATGAAGGGGCTGAAAGCCACAAAACTATTTCTTCTTTTTACTGACATTGTCCCATTTTTCTACACACAAAATCTTATGACATCAAAATAACCTGAAAGATGCTATGCTCACATTGGCAGTAAATACCCTCTTATAACACCTACTACACCCCCTTTTCACCCTTCCCTTCTCTCACTCTCTCTCACACTAGAATAAATTACAAAAAAGATTGATCATACCAGTAGAAGTGTTTCTTACCAAAAGTGTGGAGCTGTGTTTTAGCGTATACACTTGTACCTGACGACATTACAACAAGGCAGCCAGGATCCTTCAATCTGAATCCAGTAGATACAGATTTAACTGTGCCAATCGGCTGATTGTGAGTCCCTGCAGTCATATGGTTGTCATTTCAGTGTTCAGCAAGGCGTTGTCAGCATGCCTTTAACTTCAAGTGTGTGATGTTACAACTACAACACAATGAATTCCTGGAGGTGTTGTTGCTTTACTGGATGACCAATTTTAGGTTGCCTTCTAATGTCCTTTTCAAATCTACACAGTTTGTCATTGTGGCTACAAATTATGGATCAGCCTGACAAATAAAATAAAGAATAAAATACTCATGAAACTGTAAGGTGTAGGACCACTGGTAGTTTCAGTGCATGAGCTGAAATTGGTCTAATCAGAGGAGGAAAGATCAGCCAGAGCTCACTGAGGAAATCCACCTTAAAAGCTTTTATTTTGAAACATATAATTTTTCTTGTGCTTTTTCACACCTCACTTTAATACTAATATTGCCTGATTTTTTTTTACATGTATTGGTCAACAAAGACATGCTTGAGTAAAATGTCTTTCCTACATTTATGAAATAAGAGAAGAGGAACAGAAAACATTCACTTCCTTTTCTCCTTCTCTCCTCTCCTCTTCTCTGGAAGAAGGAATTTGAAAGCAAAATACCATTTATATAATCGATTGCCAAGTTGTTTGACAGTTACCTGATTCTGATGATAGATATATACTGACAGATTGTTACTTTATGGACTATGGTAGGAGGCTCTGCACTGTACTTTCCTCCGCATCCCATCTCATGGTCAAGTACTTCAAAATGAATCATTCTGAGGCAAAGCTGGCAGAGCCTTTGAGAAGACTCTTCACCTCTGGCTTTTAGTTTAAATCTTAACGTTCTCTTAGATGCATTTGTCACTTTGTCACCGTAGCTTCTTTCTTGGTTCTCTGAGCTGTTGTCACTGCTGTCACTGCTCTGTTATTTTAATGTGACAGGTGTGCCCTCACTGGGCTGAGATATAAATAAATGCTGTTTGAATGTACAGTGTTTCTATTTCAGGAAAGTTCTACTTTTCTAACCTAATGCCACCTTTAGACAAGCTGAGTTGTGTGTCCCGACGATGCAGTCTTTAAAGCAGGGGAAATGAAAATTCAACTGTGGTGTGAATGACTGTCATCCACCATACAATGGTTATATGTGACATGATGCTTGGGTGCGAAATATGTAGGTGGTTGCATCCTGGACAAACTGTGTGTTGCTGTTCACTGCCAAATTCTCTTAGGCTCTTATTGTTGAATAGATTCCTACATAAGCTGATGGATCTGGATTTACATTTCTGCACCTACAATATTAAATTGGTTTCTTTATTGATGGGGTTCTGTGGTATACCTGCTCTGGACATTTAAGAGAGACTGCACTGCCTTTTGAAGGAAGGAGGTGGTGATTTGATTTGCTTTTTCTATTACTGCCAGTTCCTACCACACCTACTGAAATTACTCTTCTTCATCCCACAAGGTTTCCATAGTTGCACCACATGGTGCTCATGACGACATTAGCGAAAATCAGTTGCTTCGCCCTGTGTGCTCCTGCTGTTCACCTTGAACTGTGTTCCACTGATTCACTGGAAAAAAGAGACCCTCAGGTCTAGCTGTCAAGTGTCTTAAGGGCAAACATGTTGCAGCATACGGATTGTTTGGAGAAAAACCTCTGTTGAATGTAGGTCCCAGTCAGGTGGTTAGAGGTAGATATCACGGACTGGAAAATAAAAAAACTACTGCAGATTTCTACCACAGCCCTCACTATGTTTGTTCTCACATCATTAGCACAAAAAAAAAAGGCCAACAGACAAAAACTGTAAAATGGACTTCAGGGACTGCAGATGAAAATTAGCTTGTATGGCTAAATCTGGCATATATCCATGATGGACCCAAGTGCTCATGTTAATTAATGTGCATTGTCCCTTCTTAAATAAAATAAACATAATCACCAACAGAGCTTCACAGATAAGAGGGATCAGTCAACAGGCAGGCAGAGTAAAGACAAACAAACACACACACACACACACACACACACACATACTCAAACACCGACAGCTTCCCATAGAGACATTTTGAGCGGTTGTCAACTTCATGCTGAACTTGTGTTATGAATTGCTAATGCAGACATTGCTTATGCGATGGTATGTATTAGGTAAGCAACAGCATGTCATTACTGGCTATACAGAACAGGATAATAGGCTGACAAACTTGCACAGTTGAATCTTGTCAGCATAATACAGTCAAGATAGAAAGTGCAACGTGATGTTTTGATCCTGCGGTGAGAGAACTGAAATAACAGAATTCAATTGTCAGGCAATTGGCTGTTCATTCCATGCTTACATATATGATTTTGATTATGTGGGTTTCTGACCTAATTCAGAGATTGTGTGTTTTTACTGTAACTGTCTACAGTTTAGCACTCACAATCATAGAGCCCATGCAGCCTTACCTGCTTACATAGTGTTTTTAACCACATAAGCCAGAAAAGAAGCCCAATGGGAGCCAATCGGAAATATGACAAATCCCCAGCAGGAAAATCTCTTATTGGTTTGGCCCAAGTGAGGGCCAGACCTCACAAAACGCCTGAATCATCATAGTAGTTTTTAGCCCTAACTCTGTTTAGTAGACAAGTTAACTCTGACTTCTGCAAGCTCAGCACCAATACATTTTTAAAAAAACTCATTTTACATTACTGGGCTAGATCTGATATCATCCACCAGAGACCTTCTTGCTTGACGTGATAGAATTGAATTTGGCTTTATATGCAATTATTTGATACTGTTTCCTTTATTTTATTTTATTTTTTTATATATATCAGTATCAAAGACACTCAGTAAATGCTCTTATAACCCCGAGCTTCCTGTAAGCTGCCATCTTCCTGAGTGGATTATAGCCTTGTTGAATAAACCAAAGTGAGCAAAACAAAATGAACTGAAGTTTGATTTTATTCTCAGTATGGTATCATCTGACAGCTCCTTGGCACTTTAGTTGCCATGGATGCCAGATCTAATTGAGCTCAGAGATAAGATGAAGGATGCATGCTCTGAAGACTGTGTTTCTTGCATATGCCTGCAAATCTGTGTACTAAATAGTCTACTTAGCCAACATGTCAGTTCAGCTTCAATGATCTGTCTAGCAATAAATCAATCATTCAAATTATATTTAACACCCTGTCAGTTCCCATTAGGTTTCCTGGTCAAAAGTAGTAGATTATACATAGATGCACAGATAGGCAGCCATCTACCCATGCTTGCTGTCAGCAATGTTCATGGTTATTATATAAAGCAACCAGCAACAAAGGGATATGTCATATTTGAAATGGTCCACTAAGTAATGCAATGCCTTGTAAACAAACAAACCGACAACAAAGTCAGATAGTTATGTACACCTTCAGCTCGATATGGTGAACAGTTGCCTATATTTACACATTCAGCAGATACAGAATAACATTATCATTCATTTGGAGTCATGTTTCTGGCTACCTGGTAAATCTAAGTCCAATGTTCTCCCTGGTTTCAGCTCTGAGGGAAATATCTGGCTCTGTGATAGACAATACGCTGAAACCATAGACTGTATAATTAAAAACAGACCTGGCCTCTGTGAGGTCACCCTGCTGACAGCCCCTCAGTGTGGTGGCTCTGGCCGTTGCCATGTTGGCAATCTTGTGTCGG